GTTCAGGTTTTTCATCTAAAAAAAAGCAACATTGATATAATAAACATTTACACATACATATTTGCAATTAATACTGAAAAACACAGGTTGACATATATAGTTACCTCCAATTAGATAGACATAATTTTCTTTGGCAGCCTTTTCAAGCATCTTGCTTGTTTCCCCAGGAATTGACTCCTGATATTTCTCAAAATACTCCACTCCATATGGAGAATTAAATCCTTCCTTTAAAACAGAAAAGACACAAAAATGTACACAGGTAACATAAATAAACATGTCTAGTAAGCACTTGCAACGTATAATAATAGACATAATTTTTTATGACATTTTACAATTACTGATCATTTATTCAATCAATGCAAAATAATTTCAAACATTCAATATGAAGTTGAATGTATGCAAAAAATGTTTTTGTAATCAAGAAAAATAAATAATGTGTGTCATGGAAACTTTATGAAATTAAACCTGAAATTTCTTTCTTACATAAATCTAAGATGGGAAAAAATTGCCTGAACAAACTGAATAGTATACATTTAACTCAATAAATCAACATATAAAAAATCTCAATTCTGGTTCTTTTCAAAAGAAATTCCTTTTGAAATAAATCCAACAGACAGACTTATTTTAAAAGGTACAAATATGTAATACAATGCTCTAAACATGTATATTCTAAATCTGCTTGCTTCTAAAAAAGGTTGTACATACATAATAATTTAGCACATTCGGTTTTAATTCTGTAGAAGAATGGTAAATACGATTTCAAAATTTTTCTAGTTATTTTTTTAAAACATTTAAATAAAAGAATACATAATTGAAAAAAAATGTTTCTTTTATTTCATAATGAAACTTACAAAATGTATACTGATCTATTAGGAACAGACTTGCTTTATCAGTAATTAATATTTTGACATACAAAGAACATCAGTTCATGAATTGAGAATCTTCTGTCATTATAAACAAAAATTAAGTCTTGAAACTTTATCTTACTACTGACAACTAGTACTCACTGGCAAGCATATGATTTTTGCACCTTCTTTGGAAGCTTCAGAGATTAAGCAAGCAGCTCGCTGAAGATTATGTTGCTTGTTTGCACTAACAGCAAGCTGTATCAAAGCAATGCGAAACTCTGAAACAAGGATTAATACCTAAACATAAAAACAAATATACAGTAATAGAAAAAATTCCGAAAATTATTCAAGCTAAAATTTATTTGGCCATAAATATTGGTAAGGAATGTAAATGTTTTTAAGACTTATAAGGATGAAAAAACCTTTTTTTTTTCCATTAAACATTTAAATGAAACTAAACACTAAAACACTTGTGTATAATGCCAGAACACACACACTGATAGAGCTCAGACTATTTTTACAATGAAATCTTGATAAAAGAGTTAGCACAAAGGATCACATAGAAAGTGTAATAAACTTAAAATAAGACTGAAAACTCGAGTGCTTTCGAATAGTTGACTATTCTTCAGAAGAAGAAGAATAGTGAACTATTCAAAAGTGCTCAAGTTTTGGGTCTTATTTTACAATGAAATAAAATGACTGATGCAGGAGGCACTAAGGATTTTGTGACAGCTAGCTGATAAATAAATATTCCCTTCTTTTTCTACAAATGGCAGGGGGGGGGGGTGTTGGTAAAATTCCTGAGCATGGGAAATAAGAGAACTTGGAATTGACCTGAACCAAGTGGATGTTATTATCTTGCTGTTAAAGAAAGACTGATAGATTAAGAAAAACTTTAAAGAGGTTTTAACGGAGATCAAAGTTCAGAGATGCAGGTCTCTCTTGATTTTAAAGTTTATGATAACAGTAGCCATGAAAATTATACACCAGTTAGTCTTCTGTAATGGGAATAATTTTATAGTGTTTGATAAAAGAAGCTTTGTACAGCCATCGAGTCTAACAGATCATTAAAACAAATTAAACAGGGATTCACTAGTGGAAATTTTCCCATTAATGTGTTAATTTTTTTTCCAAAAATCTTACTTGTTATTTGGGTGACAGAAAGGGTGTGGGCTTGGTGTACTTACATTTTGAAAAGCTTCTGATATCATACAAAAGATTTGCTAATAAAATCACTTTGGTGGAGATTAAAGAAAGACTAAAAAATTAAATTGTACAATAGTTGGATGGTAAAAATGAAAAAGTTGTTTTTAATGGAGTCTATTCAAATTTAAATCTTGTTATTATTGGAATACCTTTGCTTTTTCTTATTTACATTAATGATATTGTTACTAATGCCATTAAACTCTTGATCAGATCCTATATTTAGAACGACTTGGAGCAATTGTTTAGTTGGACAAATATTTAGCAAGCGACTTTTAATTATACTGAACACAAGATAATGCAGTTGGATTATCATAATTTGAATCACACATCTAAATATAAATGAAACCCCATTCAACAGCATGACAGAAGAAAAGGATCTTGCACAGTGGTGTATAAGTCACTCAAGCCATCAAGGCAGTGCTCTGTTTCTAGTATAAAAGCTAACAGAATTTTAAGGTGTATGTACAGACATACTGATTACAAGTCAAAAGAGGTAATTACCTTTTTATAGAAATCACTGATTAAGCCTCAGTTGAAAGTAGTAATAAAGGATATTGACTTATTAGAAAGGGTCCAGAGGAGAGCTACTAGAATAATACCAAGGATTAAAGGCTATCTTATGTGATTAAGTTGATCTCTCTTAGCTGTTTTCTCTTGTGGTAAGAAGGGATATGAAGTGATGTTAATGAAGGTACACAAGATTATGTGGGGAATCAGTCTCAGTAAGTTTCTTTGGACTATATTTTGAAGACAAGAGAATGAGAGGATAAAAAAAAAAGTGAGATTTGGATAAAGACAGGCTAGCCTCCAGTTAAGACAGTTTTAGTAGCAGTAGTAGTAGGTAAGACCAGCACTGTATATAAGTTTAAAAGGAAGAACTGATAATTTCATGTATAATAGCTTTGAATGATCAAATGGTTTCTTATTGTCTATATGTTATTTTATTGAACTTTTCACATTAAATTATTCATTTACAAATGTTTTGATCTTATAAATGCATTTAGTGACTTGTTTCTGAAATAAACTTCTGCCTACGCTCTAGTATGCCAAAAGATAATTATATTTTAATAAATATATACAATGAAATTTAGTAGTAAATGTGCCATGGTAACAATATTAACAAGTGTAAAAATCAGTAAACAAATACCCATATAGCAAAAAGGAAAAACACTAATGGGCCTGCAGTGTATGCAGTTAACCTGCAAACCTTGGGAGCAAAAGAAATGTGGAAATAATAAGAACTTGTGATATGAGTGAATTTGGAAAATAATATATACTAATAGTAATATATAGCAACAAATAACATATCAACCAAACCACATCTGTTACTAACAATACATCTGGCTCGCATACTAGTACTACACATTAATTAATGGTTTTGACGTCATGTATAATATTAATAGCAAATTACGTGAATAACTATTTCGGTTATGACATGAATTAAGTTGGTGAAGTCATTATATTAGTTATATATTTTAACATCAAGTTGTTTCAATATAATTATTTATTCTACTTGAATTAACCAACTCATCAGTCAGAACTTGTACATTTACTTTGTAAAGTAGTTATACTACTGTTCGCCCGTTAAACACATCTAAACTCGTAAAACCTTGAAAATTACTGGTACACTGGTAGAAATTTCTCGTTGCATAACAGGTTATTGTGAATGCAATGGCCACGTATGGCCCTTAATAAATACATTAAAAACTTACTTACTAAAGTTACTTAGCACCAATCGATCTAAAACAAAAAGGCTGCCTCCCAATAACAAATGAATTCATAATACATCTATAACTGAATACAATAACAATGAGCTTTAATAAAACAAATATGAATCGACAGATACATACACAAAAAACTTCTCATCTATTCTCGTTGTTGTTCTTAAGTTTAATTTTACTTACTATTTGCAGCCATCATTCTTCCCTCCTTCTGTTCCGCAAATCTTTTACAGCGTTGTTCGTAAACTTCTAAAAAAATACAAAGCGCATGTGCAGTTAGCGCAGAAATTTTGATACTTCAACCGATTCTGTAACCCAAGTTTGCCCTCTATTGAGTAATTTTACTGTACTTGTATTAGATGAATGAACGAGCATTAATTCTTTCTCTGCTTGTTTGTTTTGAATTTCGAGCAAAGCTACACAAGGGCTCTCTGTGCTAGCTGTCCTTAATTTAGCAGTGAAAGACTAGAGAGAAAGCAGCTAGTCATCACCACCCACCGCCAATTCTTGGGCTACACTGTTACCAACGGATAGTGGTTACACAGTTATAACACACCCACGGCTGAAAGGGCGGGCATGTTTGGTGGGACGGGTATTGGAACCCGTGACACTCAGATTGCGAATCAAGCGCTCTAACCACCCGGCCATGCCGGGCCCATTCTCTGTCTCGGCGCCATTGTTAAACTGTCTGAAAAAAATTTAAAGAAGTTGTAATTTTCTTTTTCACAAAGTAGATGATGGAAGGTGACACACTGACAAAGTTCCCCAGCTCTACAATAAGTTGAATGTTAAGGTATAAAATGTCTTCCATGTTGATGATGTTGAAATTTAAAATATAAATGCATGCACTAGGAAGGGCATCGCCGAGAGTGGGGGGTGGGAAGACGCGAACGAACCTCCTTTTGGACCATAAATAAACATTAATTCCACGGACTGCCATTTCTACATCCAAATTAACAGTGGGGCCAACACCATTAGCATAATTCAAACCTATCAAATGTACTGAACTGCCTGCGGTCCTGTTTCTCAGAAGAAGGTGAATGGGCATGAACTATATTATTCTATAATGATTTGATCAGGCAAACGCCACACCATAAAATCACGTTCTGACCAGTATCGATTTTTCTTCTTTTTATTTAGGCTGGGACAACTATACAAGCTTCAAAAGGCTATGGCTGTTTGTTCATACTTAAATATTCCTAATCAGTTCAATACAGTAGATAGTGTTTATATTACATCACAATGAGAAAAATAGTTATTAAAAAGATTTACATACGTATAATTGTGACGTACATACTAAGACACACAGTAGTGAGTCCAAAACAACCTGCACTGTGTGTTATTAACAGGAGAGCTAGTTTCGCAATTTTCCACTTTCTGTAGCTCGGACTGTCGTAATCAAAACTATCATCATACTAACTCAGCATCTATGAGTATCCGCACTCAACACTACTAACACAGAACAAAGGTAAACAATTAAACACATTATAAATTTTCGAGAGAATATAAAACAGCAAATAAATACTATCACTCTACTTATATCTAATGGATATCGCAATGAATGCATGAAATAATCATGATTATGGAAGATCTAAACATTGTTTTCCTGTGTTCTTTCCATATTTATGCTAAGGTCAAGCGCGACTTCATTTTTACTAGTATCCATATCCAGAATGAATGGAACATTCTTCTCTGATACGCTAACACTTGTGTATCAACCAAGGAACATATTAGCGACTGGAATGACTTCACTGGTCTTCATTCCATTTAAAATTGTTTGTTTGTTGCAACACAAAAGATTTAAATAATAAATTATATTCGAATCTATAAGATGCATTTGTACAACGTACTTTTGACGTATTAAGTAATAAAGCTTATTGTTGAAATAATTAATTGCTACCTGTAGTAAAAAAGGTTATATCAAGGTTACAGAGCGAAATAACAAAAAGATAGGATAAAAATTAAATTAAATAACTAAAATTATCGGCGCTATTCCATTGTCTATATTCATTTGTGGTCGTAGTTGTTCGATGAGAAGAGAATCTTTGAATTTCCAGTCAGTGAATTTGGTGGCTTTGGTGAGGATTTGTACAGAGAATGGTGATTTCATGTCCGGTCTTACCTGTCTATGATTAGTCAAGAATGATGTGCAACTGCGCTTCTGTCATACTTTTGTTTATAAAAAACGTCAATATGTTCTCCTATCCTTGTGTTCAGGGTTCTTCCGGTTTCTCCTGTGTACGTATGATGGCAGAGGCTACATGTAAACCGATAAACAACACTGGAGACAAAACACTCATCTTTAGATTGCAAACACACTTTTTAAGAAAGTTGGCTTTATTACATTATAGGATGGTGTACTGAGATTTTCAAAGTTGATTTTTTAGGGTTGGACCTGACCGTGCTATAACTTTAATCAGCAGTTCAGGTTTCCTGATTATAGTTTTTATTTTCTTGGAAATAGCTTCGTCAATTAGAGGTGTTATAAAAAATCTTCTTTTTTTTCTATCTTTGGAAAATCTGGTTTTTTTCGTCCATGTTTATCCGTGTTTTCTCATGTTGGAATTGTGCTGTTGATTATTACGCACCATAGTTCTTGAAAATTTGTTCGATGTAAAAAGGTGTATATTCCTTGCTCAGAAGAAGTGATTTTAGTTCGGAGTGTGTATTGTTTTTGTTTGTTTTTTCGCTACAATAGCGATCGATTTTGTTTAATTCTCCAATAATTTCGCCTTTCTTGGAAGCTTTGGGATGATGGGAGTTGAAGTTAAAGTGGTTTGTGAAACAAAGTAAATTGTATTAGGTCGTCAAGAAATTAATGTCTTTTTTTTTAGATGAAAAAAGCCAAACAACTTATATATCAAAATAAAACATTTATTAAATGAAACAGTCTCCATTCTTATCGATGGTGCTGTTCAATCTTACAATCAGGCTGTTAATGCGCTGAATAAACAAATAACTTGGCTATGAAGCAAAAAAATGTGTCGATGTCCTTCCACAGTAGCATACGTTTTCCCATTTCCTTTTGTATCATTTGCTATCGTTATAGGTGTGTTTGTTCTTTTACTATTTGTTTCGGATCACTATTTTTCAAATGCATTGGCAACATCATTTGTGATAGTGTTCACAGAACTATTAAAACCACCAAGATGAAGAATATACCAATACATTTCATAAAAAAACAAAGTATAGTATTATTCCATTTTTAACACTAGATCTGTATTTAACACTACACTTACATTCATTGTGATTTTAAAATTTCAAGTCTTATAAAACACAGAATGATAGTTCTATGTAGAAATACGAGCCTTCTTCTATATTGTTCTTCTTAGCAAACTCTAGTTTTGAATGTTTTCTATAACATTTTGCGTATTCTTTGATGTTAACATTATTGATGTTTGTTACATATTTATTTTAGATTATTTTCGGTATGTCTTGCAAGTTTTATATCCATTAGTATCAGTTTCATCATTTCTGTATCTAACCAGCTAATAAGGAGAAATTCGTTTCGTTTAAATGACTTTTGAATTTTAGCTGTAACTATAATAGCTAAGTGTCGATGTCCTTTCTCCACAGAACTAATCATAATTTTCGATATGTCTTGCAAGTTTTCTATCAATCAGTGTCGATTTCATTATTTTTGTACCTAACCAGCTCATAAGGAGAAATTCGTTTCGTTTGAATCAAGTTTTCGATCTTTTCGTATATTTTCACAGCTAACTTTCGTTTTTCGTGTTTTCGATACATATCTCTCATTTCATTTACTTTTCTATCTTTTGAGATACCGTTTAACGTTTTTTTCATCTTTTACTTTTTGTTCCGAATCACTATTTATCTAATCCAATTACAACAACATCATTTATGATGGTGTTTACACAATTATTAAAAGTAACGGAAGGACATTTAATAAAACACAAAGTATAGCATTATTACATTTTTAACACTAGATATATATATTTAACACTACACTTACATATATCGTGATTTAGATATTTCACAACTTATAAGATACACAATGATAGTGCTGTATAGAAATGAAGCCTTTTTCTATATTGTTCTTCTTAGCAAACTCTAGTTTTGAATGTCTTCTATAACATTAAGCGTATTCTTTGTTGTTAACAATAATGATGTTTTTTTACACATTTACGCGTAATATCGTTTATTTTCGTTATGTCTTGCAAGTTTTCTATCCATAAGTATCAATTTCATTATTTCTGTATATATTATCGTGAAATACGTTCGTTTGAATGAATTTTGAATTTTAGCTGTAACTACAACAACTAAGTATCGATTTCCTTTTTTCATACATCGAATCATAATTTTCCTTATGACTTGCAGGTTTTCTATATAGAAGTGTTGATTTCATTATTTCTGTGAAATTCGTTTCCTTTGAATTATTTTTCAATTTTTCTTGTAATTATTCCTGCTAGATATCGAGTTTCTTTTTCCACTGGTGTAATTATCATTTTTCATTCTTTCCAATGTTGCTTTGAATTTTCTCTAAAACTAAGGTACATTTACAAGTTTTCGATCTTTTCGCATACTTTCACAGCTAACTTGCGTTTTTCGATACATATATCTCATTTCATTTCCTTTTATATAATTTGGTGTACTTTCTACAGTAAGCGATCGTTTTACGTGTTTTTGTTCTTTTACTTTTTGTTTCAGATCACTATTTATTTAATGCATTTGCACCAACATCATTTGTGATAGTGTTCACACAATTATTAAAAACACCCAAATAAAGATTATACCAATACATTTAATAAAAAACAAAGTATAGCATTATTACTTTTTAACACTACACTTATATACATCGTAATTTTGATATTTCACAACTTATAAGATACACAATGATAGTTCTCCATAGAAATGCAAGCCTTCTTCTATATTGTTCTTCTTAGCAAACTGTAGTTTTGAAAGTTTTCTCTAACTATATTTTTATTCATAGTTGTTAACACTTATGATGTTCTTTACACATTTATGTTTCATATCGTTTATTTTCGGTATGTCTTGCATGTTTTTTATCCATAAGTATCGATTTCATTATTTCTCTTTCTAATCAGCTAATATCGTGAAATTCGTTTCGTTTGAATAACTTTTGAATTGTAGCTGTAACTACAACATCTAAGTATCGATTTTTTTCATACATCTAATCATAATTTTCCGTATGTCTTGGAAGTTTCTATCCAGAAGTGTCGATTTCATTATTTCTCTTTCTAATCAGCTAATATCGTGAAATTCGTTTCGTTTGAATAACTTTTGAATTGTAGCTGTAACTACAACATCTAAGTATCGATTTTTTTCATACATCTAATCATAATTTTCCGTATGTCTTGGAAGTTTCTATCCAGAAGTGTCGATTTCATTATTTTTGTATCTAACCAGCTCATAAGAAGAAATTCATTTCGTTTGAATCATTTTTTCAATTTTAGCGGTTAATACTAAAGCTAAGTACCGATTTCCTTTTTCTACAGGGCTAATAAGCAT